AGCAAGTTCCTGGACAGGGGGCCACAGGGAAACACTGTCTCAATACAGAAACACCCAATTTATGCGTAACAGCTGGGGAGTGAAAAAAAAAAAAAAAGAAGGAAGAACTTTTTGGTTGGAAACCTAGTTTAGATGTATTTTACAACCTCGTTGTCTGACTCTTACAGAAATGTAAAGAATAAAATTCAATTTTTAAATGATCCCAGATCTCAGATGTTGGGAGACTTTCTTCCCTGTTCAACTTCCCACTCCCCCTTATAAGGATTTTGAGTCCTAACCAAGGAACCAGGCCACAAAGAAATGACATCTCTGCTTATTTGGACATGGAATAAAGCTATAAAGTCAGCTTACTGTCTTCCTTTACTTTGTAAAACTTTGTGAAACTGGCCTGGAGTTTGCTATGTAGACCAGGCTGACCTCAATCTCACAAGAGATCTTCCTGCCTCTGCCTCCCAAGTGCTGGGACTAAAGGCATGCACCACCATGCCTGGAAGGTTTGCTGTTTTTAAAGCCCAATTTATAGCACAGTTAACTTATATTTCATTAAAGAAAGGTATACAGCTATCGGTCCCAGTGAGCAAACCATGCTCACATAGGCATGCTCCTGATGGCTGCATCTGAAATTTAAGAGTAGTATATTTAGGTGTCAGTTGTAGTGGATTTTTTTTTCTCACATCTTGAAACTAATCGTTTTTAAAGAGACTTTATCAATTTGGAGATTATAAGATTGTGTTTTATGCATGTATATATAATTTCAAACTAGTCTACAGCTATTGAAAAATTATTTTTATTGTACACTCTAATTTGACTTTCCCTTCTCTCTTTTTCTTTTCTTCAGAAGCATTATTTTCTGTCTCAGTGGTCTCATTTTGGACACACACACTTAAGCTATTTTGCTGATTTCTCCTGGAGCAACAGTTTTAAAAAGCAAATAGGTTTATTGAAGTGCACATCCGATCTAAAGGTCTCTTTTTAGTTTCAAGGTTTAGAAATTTCTTGATAATTTTTCTAGTTTCACAATGAAAGTAAAGCTTTCTTGTCACAAAGGCAAGGGGGATGAGACACAAGGTCAGAGGGCACTTTAGAAACAAACAGCTGGACCAGTTTATTTAAACAGATAGAGGGAACTGGGAGCTGACCTCAGTTTGACTTATAGTGGGAGGAGCAAGAATGCTATTTTATTGCTTTGCCCAGAAGGAAAATGTTTTTTTGTATCTGAATTCACCTCCTAAGCCATCTAAACACATGCTCTGCTGTATGTTGACTAAGTTCAAGGAGAGAGATAGGGGTACGGGAGACCTGAGGATGTGATGGAGAGGAAATACACGGAGGATCAATTATGAAGTGACAGTAAAATATAAACATGTTTCAGAAAATGAAATATTTTGCTGTTTACTTATTTTCAAGTAAAGATGTTCACAATGACCTCAGGCAATAATACAAATTGTTCATAAAAGCATAGGGTTTATAATTCAGTAATGTTCTCAGAGTTTACTGTGGCACGCACATGTGTGTGTGTGTGTGTGTGTGTGTGTGTGTGTGTGTGTGTCTTGTCAACACCATGTTACCCTGTTAGCTAAGGTCACAACTGACAAACTCTGAGAGTGTGCCTGAACTCAATTGGGGTAGTATTCAGAATGTGAATACAGGGATGCTTACACACAAGAGGAGAGGGCTGTCATGTCTCTTTTCAACGATCTTCATTATTTTGATAATATTTTTTATTGGACTTTTTTTAAATGAAGAAGTTGGGCTGGGGGTGTAGCTCAGTTGGTAATGTGCTTGCCCAGGACACACCAGGCCCTGGGTTCAGTGGCCAAGCACCACATGATATGGTGCATGGTGAAGAATGCCTGTAATCCCAGCACTCAGGAGGTAGAGGAAAGAGGATCAGAAGTTCAAGGTCATCCTCAGCTATATAGTCAGTTCAAGGCCAGCCTGGGCTACATGAAACCTTGCCTCAAAATAAGAAAAGCAGAGCTGGAGGGATGGCTCAGCAGTTAAGAGCACTGGTTGCTCTTGTGAAAGACCCAAGTTTGGACCCCAGCACCCACATGGTAGCCAACAACCATCCATAACTCCAGTTCCAGGAGATCTGACTCCCCTCTTCTGGCCTCCTAGGGCACAGCATGATTTGGGTGCACTTACATATGGGCAGGCAATACACTCATAGGAAGTACCAGGTAGCTGAACAGCTCAAAGTAATTGAGTTTTCTTAAGCTTTTGGTTTTTCTCTTTCCTTCTTTGTTTGAGGAAAGGATTCTCCTTGATGTCTTTATGACCTAGGAGTATCTTAAAGCTGTTATCAATGGAAAATCAGTCATCAGTACCACAAGAAGAAACAACAACAACAAAAAAAATTAGTATCTGTGAGTACTTAGCTGAGAGGAAGTGGTACAGTGATGTCCTCAGCATGGGGACCAGGGCAGAATCCATCTCTGCAACCCCCCAGGGACACACAGATAATCTCAGCAAACTGAGCAGGATGTCTTGGGTGACAGTAGACTCAAAATATTACTGAGATTTACCTCTAGGGAGAACCTTTCAAGAGATACAGATTTTTAACCTAAAGATAAGAGAAGAGCCTACAGGGCTTGATGACTGTGCTTAAATATCTGAATGGAATTTTTTTTATTTTCTCAAAGAGCTGGACTGTGAAAGAGTTTTAGATGGAGAAAGCAGAACCTTCTGGTAGCTCCCTGTGTTCAGAGACATGCTGGCAGGTATGATGGTTAGTGCTGTGCTGGCAGCGGTTCAGTAAAGACTGTCCACTGGTGAAATATTATAGAGGAGCCCCATGGCGATGACCGGGCTAGGGGATGAGGCACTTTCTAAACCTGGTTTGCAGTCCTTCTCTGATTGAATGGTCATGAGTTGTTAGTCTGACCTGTTACTCTGAATTTCTCTATGGGATCGACAGGAGGCAAATGTTGGAATGTGGGAACACTGAGTCACTGAGTCTTTTTGAGCAGGCCTTATCTTTATATACGCAAGCTGGGCAGCCATAGGAATTCTCCACCTATAAGATGGTCACAGTCGTGCTAATTCATTGTCTCAATGTGAGAGCTGCTGCCAGTGGTGACTGGCCCAAAATCAGCTACTTTTCAGATATCTGTGTGGTCTGAAGTATTCTGGAGGAGTGACACAGTAGTGGCCACACTGTTGTCACAACATCAGAAGGGAGGGAGGGTACTATCATTTACCAGCTGTGGCATCAACAGATTCTCAACACCTCTTTGGTAGCATGTGACCTGAAATCAGTTATATAATTTCTCTGATCCATGGATCCTCATCTGTTAAAACGACTTTTCCTACCCGTTAAATATGTGTCTAAGAGGACTTGAAAAAGAAAGTTAACATACTAAGTTTTTCCTCTGTCAGTGGAGATCATGAGCAGTAGTACAGATAGGGAGTGATGCTTTGCTCTCTTACCTATGAAAATTACTTTTTGTGTACGCAGAATATTAATATTAAATAATTTTCTAATTGGTCATGCAGTGCAGCAGCTAATGAAAAAGCAGATTTTTTTCCCTTTTAATTGGTTATTTCACATGGTGTTTGTGCTACACCTGTGCTTATAATGAGAATGGAGAATTAATCTAACCTTCTGCTCGCATGATTCTAATTTTCATGGCTTATCTAAGATAATGATAACCTGATTTGCAGCACAATTTGTTGTAGATATGTATTTTAAATATTTTTATTAGCTGTTCATGGATCTTATATATAAAAACTGATACAATATATATAGCCAACAACAGCTGTCACCAACAGTGCACCTTCTAGTTAGAAGCAGTTTCATCATTTATTTTAATTACTTCTCAGAAAGAACATAAGAACATACAGGATATTGAAAATCTTAAATGTTATGAAGCATGCATTTCTAGTTTAAATCTTGTCCCTGGCAGCTTAATGGCTTGGATTTTAGGAACTAGTCTCCTTCTTCAAGTGGACAGATGCAAACTAAAATTTGTACTGAACTGTGGATTCTTTAATGATCAACGGTGCACAAACTTTTCACTGTGTCTTTATGTCCTGCTCAGATTTGATACAGTCAAATCTGAATTGGAAACTGAAGCAACTTAGCTGTTCTGGAATCTACTATGGCCTCTTCATTCTCTGTATTTGGTATGCAATTCTTACTACCCAGGACAAATGGATCTTAGAATTAGAAACTTGTGAACATGGCTTTAGCATTAACTACTTTTTAATATTTTGGTGATGACATTTTTGGAAGATCTATGAAAAAAAATCATTGTACCAAACAATCTTTTTAAGACACTTGAAGTGACTTAAATATCTTAAGAAGATGATTATAAATTTTCAGTAGAAACTGAAGAAAGCCGAATTATCAACTCAATACTGTGTACATGTGACCTTGTCTTAACTTCAGACTTCATAAAGAGAAAAAAAAAGCCACCCCAAGAAATCTCTAAGGAGTGCATTTCTCTGGTCCCCAGAAGTGTGAGTTAATAGTGATAAATTCTAGATATCCCTTCAGTTGGTGGTATACTGCCATCCTGGTTCATTATCTTAGAAGTGGGCATAACGATAGAATTATGTTTGCAAAAGCTAGGGGAGGTTTGAATAAAAAAGAATTGTGAGAAAGCAATTAGAGTGTAAGATTGAAATGTCTGTAGTTTCGAGGCAGCAGACATCCTCAGCAGCTCCCCACTCTCCACCAGCTCCCACCCTGGCCATTGAAAAGAGTGGTGGCTAGCATTGTTTCCTGAAAACTCCACTAATTCCCCCATGAAAAGATGAAATGGAAGTGTCCAACTGTGGTAAAACAGGCAAACATAAATCAACTCAGAAACCCCAAGCCTTGTACTCAAAGGTCACGGGGTTATGGGTTCTACAGCATGTGAATCTCCACATGAGGAGAGAGGAGGCAGCCCAGCTCCTCCAGCACCTCTCACTGTGATTCATCTCTTCCTCTTCCTCTACCTTTTGTTTATTTTTTAAAGGAATAATGATTTGCTTTGCCTTCTTGGTTACAGGTTTATTAATGCCCGGAGAAGAATAGTGCAACCCATGATAGACCAGTCCAACCGAGCAGGCAAGTCCCCTATAGTGACTGTATTCAAGTCACGCAAGCGAAAACCATCCTCAAGCCATTCACCAGGAGGGCTGCTACCTGGTAAATGAACTGGGAATGAGTGCTAGGAGGTTTGTGCCTGGCAGTGAGAATAAAACCAGTTTTGTTTTATAACAACACTAATCAACTTAACAGCATCAGAAAAGATTTGAAGAAAGTGGGGAAAAAAGCCAGTGGAGAAAGTAACTTTTAAATCACGTGCTCAGTTACAATATTCTCTGTAAACATTCAATATATTCATGTTATTTTTTTTTTCTGAGTTTGCCTTCCCAGCTTTCTGCTACTATGACCACTCCCTGGTGCATGGCTTGGTGTGGAACTGCTGTAAACTTTATTACCTGTCAAAAGGGCAGAGGGGTCAGGCTCGCTTGTGGGACTCAGTAAAGTTCAAAGACATTCAATGAGGTAGAGCTTTTGTGTGCTTTAATAACCCAAGTCAGCTTACTTCTGAAACAGCTTTTCATGTACGGTTAAAACGGGGGATTCAGGCAATGCTGGAAATACTCGGTTCTTCGTCTCAGGACCTTTCTCATCAGCGTCTATCTTCCAGGGTTCAAAGTAAAAAAACAGAAGGAAGCAAAACCAAACCCAGCTCTTTTTCTTCTTGTTTGCTTTCTCTCAGTCATGAGCGCTAGGATTTGTTTTCATATTGTAACAGGGTAGCGAGCACATTTGCAGGGTCTGCAGGTTTGAACTGCCTTCTCAAATACTCTCTCAGCACTTTCAAAAGCTATGCTAGCCCACATTGAGTAGGTCCGTTAGTCACATTCCAGTAACTTTTTCCTTTCAATATCCATGATGAAACCACCAAACAGAAAGCCCAAGTACAAATGTCTGTGCCTAGCCTGTTCCTTGAACATGGCACTTAGAACTCAACTCACTGAGGTACAGGGGACTGGTCTGAGAGAAAGAATTACCTTTGGTGAAAAAAATTTTATCTGCTTAGTACATTATCTCTGTCTACTCTGGTTCCGTCTCCCTTCTCTTCACCCCCTCCTTCTTTCCCTCCCTCCCACCCCCCTTCCT